AAAAAAAAAAGGAGAAGAGGGGCTGGAGAGATGGCTCAGCGGTTAAGAGCACTGACTGCTCTTGCTGAGGACCTGGATTTGATTCCTAACACCCACATGGTGGCTACGAACCGTCCTTAACTCCAGTTCCAGGGGACTCCAGTGCCCTCTTCTGACCTCCATGGCATTACATGACACAGGTGTGCTCACATACATGCAGGCAATACACTCATACACATAAAATAAAAATAATAAATAAAAAAAGCAAACCTGATACACTATCTATTAGGACTTTATCTTATATAGTCCAAAAACTGTTGATTTTCTTCACAGGACTTATTTAAAAGCCAATTTTGCAGCGTAGTTCATAGTTCATAGTCGTTTTCTTACTTAATCAAAAACGTAGTCTTATTTTCTCTAGATAATCATACTATTTCATTCTAGGACCTTTGTCCTAATTTGCTTTCTGTTGCTGTGATAAAACACTGACCAAAACCCACTTGGGGAGGAAAGGGTGTATTTCACCTTCCCGATTATAGTACATCCATCATTGAGGGAAGTCAGGGCAAGAACCCTGGAGGAATGCTGCTGTCTTGCTCCTCCTGACTTGCTTAGCTGCCTTTCTGTACAGCCCTGGCTGTGCAGGAGTGGCACCACCCACAGTGGACTGAGCCATCTAACATCAACTACCAATTAAGAAAATGCCTCACAGACATGCTCACAGGCCAGTCTGACATGGGACCTTCTTTAGCTGAGGTTCTCTCTTCCAAGGTGACTCTAGTCTATGTCAAGCTGATAGAAACTAACCAGCATAGCCTTCAAAAACATGGAGGATTCATTAGTATGTGATAAAGCCATAGAACTTTTGAGGACCATGCAAATTACAAGATAATTATACTGTTGTGATATTACCAAACACTAACCATTGTGGCATCAGTTACTTTAGAAAGTCTTATAGAAAGGCAGAATTAAAGCAGAGATTTCTTTTTCAGTTCTTAGTCTTCTCTACGACGAATAATAACAATAGAGAATTGTTACCAAGGTTCTAAAGAAAACATTGACACAAGGTTGGGAATTCACAAGCTCTCATTTTCCATAGGCCTAAAGAACATAATGGCAGTTGATCTTACTCCATGGTGTGAAATTAATTAATGCACCTTCTTAAGAGATATGGAGTGACTTGGGCTTAAGGCAAGTTTGGATCAATATCTGTGGCACAGTAAAAGGTTATATGAATCACTGCTTATTAGAATGGTTGATATCATCCAAATTAATAGCTGAATACCCAGTGCCTTAATGATTCATCTTTCATGGTGTGACATGTTCAAGGCCTTGGAGAAAGAAAGGAAGGATCAGCTCCCTGACAAAAAAAAAATGTGTCCCTGGGCGATGGTATAAAAATAATAGTTTACATGGAATACTGATTGCAAGTTCTCAGGCTTGTAGAACATTTAGCTTATTGTGTCTAAATCATAGGTGATATATTATCTAACCAGCTAATTAGGTCTGACTCTGATCAGATTTGCCTGTCAAAGCTGTGTTTATTTAACATGCTTCAACACAGAATATGAGTCTTTGGCAATGCACAGAAAACGGTGCAGCCGCAGTGGTTAAGTGAGTCAGGTCCTGAGGGCCCTCCAGCAGTCCTTACAATTCCTTTGAAATGCATACTGCAGAAGAAAGGGTCTGACAGTGTGGAGGGTGGCTCTGTAGTCTTAGGAATCCACAGTGAATTAAAGTCTAGACTCACTCATTTGTCAGTGTAAGGGGAGGAGCGAGAGGGAGCAAATCAGATATGCCCAAAATGTTACAGAGGTACCAGTGAATCAAGGATGCTGGTGCCACTCCGTGCGTTGTGGGGAAGGCGATGATAATAGCCCAGCGGCAGCAGCAGGAGCAGCGTTGTTCTCAGAAACAGTCACATAAACAGCAGCCAGGGTAGGCCTCCTCCCTTCCAAAGAAGCATACTGCTGCTTGGTGAAATGCAAGACTGGAGTTTCAAAATCTCGAGTTGAGCATGGCTGCTTTACAAGTGTGGCTCAGAAACCCTGATGATTTGGACAGGCAGAACTCTGTGCTAGCAATACTAACTTGGGAAGAGAAATGCTACTTTTTGTAAATTTTTCCCAACAGTCAGGCCCTTGAAGAAGATCTCAAATTACCTGTTTAAAAAAAAAAAAAGAAAAAAAGAAAAGGCAGGCAGGAAGGAAGAAAGTTTTGGCAAGCCTGCAGGAATAATGATGTCTGTAGAAACTACCTAGAGCAGAAGCTCAGTATTGATTTGCTCATGACTCTTACCTGGGAGTGGAAGGTAGGAAGAAATGGACAGTGGCCGTGACAAGAAGACGAGGCGCGGTGCAGCCTGGTGAAGCCAAGCGCTGACTGCACTCTGCCCACTCTTCATGCAGTGCTGCGGGCTGGTACATCGCCGGCGAGTACGGGTGTCCTATGTAAGTTTCTATTGCTGTAGAGATCGTGACTAGGAGCTGAAAATACAATTTGTGTCTGTCCGGTGTATGTTACTTCTTTCAGATGTTTTAATCTCCGTGTTGAACCAAACAAAATCAATTACTTGCATCATGAGTTGTCAAGGCATCTGAGGTCTATGATATTCTGAGGTCTCTCCAGTGGTGTGTGTGTGTGTGTGTGTGTGTGTGTGTGTGTGTGTGTGTGTGTATTATGCCTATTCACGTGCATGAGGGATGAGGGTGCACATGCACATATGTACATATGAAGGCCAGAGGTTGATTGCAGGTGTCTTCAATTGCTCTCCACCTTATTTGCTGAGGCAGGGTCTCTTGCTGAACCCAGAGCTCACTGGTTCAGCTAGTCTAGCCAGCCATCTTGCTCTGAGGATCTCGTGTCCACCTCCAGAGTTCTGGGACTACAAGCAGGCAGCTATGCCTATCCAGCATTTACATAGATCTTCACACATGCACAACAAGCACTTGACTCACTGAGCCACCACTCCAGGCCTTTCTTTTTGTGACTTTCTTGTTGCAAAGAGGTCAAGACCATTCCTAAAACTAATATTTATTTCCATATAAGCAAGTTATGTTTTTTTTTTAACTTACAGGATTTTAGGTTTTTTTTCTTTTTTTACATTGGGAAAAAAAAAGAGTTACTTTAATAAGGTTGGAAATAACTTGCACAGGGATTGGTTTGGTGTGTGTATGGGGGGGAGTCTATTGTCTCAGGTATCTTTATCAGATCAAACCAGTTGATAGTCTCTTTTCTTTGGAGTAGTCCTGTTTTCCTATTTGAATCATGGCAGAGGAAAGAAAATTCTTCTCTAGAGACAAAATGCTGTGGAGTTTGTCAAATTACAGATAGCCTCAGAGGCAAATGTTAAATCCTATTTTGGACAGCTTCAGAAAAACAGTAGATGATAATCGCTTGATGGATGACACAGCTGTTGCAATAACGCCAGCCTTCCCAACAGCTTTATCGTCCCCTGTTTCACCGGAACAGCCCCTGTTCCGTGGACCTGCTGTGTTTTTGCAAAATGGCTGTCTGAGTATTAAATTGTAGAAGGCAAGCTCACACAGATATTGAAGTATCAGTGTCTGAGATGACTGGATGCTGATTGAAATACACGGCCCTGCTCCACCCGCGGACAGGCTCGGGGAAGCACTGCTTTATTTTCATCCTGCTTTCGCATGCTGTCACTTCATAGGGAGCGGTGTGTGAAAGGGAGATTTATGCAGGCTGGCCAGACTGCGGCACTGAGTGGCTTACCGCTGGCTTGACATTCCTGGATGCAAAACAAACAGAAAATTGATAATTAATGCTAATCAATTCTTAAGGGTGTCACATCAGGAAATCTGTGACCTTGGGAATCTGGCCAGCAGAGGAGATCCATGTGAGACCTCAGGACAAACAAGGTCAAAATCTGATATGATCTGAATCATAAAGTTGAAGATCAAGGGTGGGCGGGAGAGACCATTATATTCCTACCAGACTTGAAAGATTCTGTTGTATTAAATCATTAAGATGGAAACTTCTCTGAAAGGTTTGAAAAATTGTTACCGACTTGGTTCGACTGTGTTTTGAATGCAACAGCTGGCACGTCAGGAGTAAACGTAGTAGGGAGGTAGCTAGCCAAGATTTTTTTAAGACAACATCTGCAGAGGTAGATGGATTTTTTCCAATAAAAAATAAATTGATTTTTAATAAGATTTTGGAAATAAGCACTACAAACTTTTTCATGTAAAGCTATCCACATAATGAAAATCTTAAAATAATTTACAGTTAACAATCCATATTTTCATAGATTTCCTTAGAAGACTGAATTCTGCAGCTTTATGTGTTTCTGTTTATTTTTGTATTATAAACTAGAAGTCTATGGCTGTTTGCTGTTGTGGAGGGGATTTCTGAATCAGGATCTCAAAGCTTCCGTTTGTGCTTGGCTTTTGCACTTTTCCTATGTTGAACATGTTAAATACACAGGACGCTGTAATCTTTATTTTTGCTGTCATGACTAAAAAGTGTGCAGACCTGTTGCTTTGTAATTATCAAACTTTTTTAGTCTGTGTTTTGAGTACAGAGTCATAGAATATACAGCATAGGTGTGTTTTAAAGATATAAGAAAGAAGAACACACCGTGGTCACTGGTGTTTGAATTTCCAGTTAGTTTAGGATATTTTGACTTGGGAAATCTAACCTGTTACCCACCTGTGATTACTTTATCTTGTTAGGCCTCAAAGTTTAACCCATGGATTTCAGTTTTCTTTAGCGGTGGCCAACTGAAAGACATAATTAAGTGACTGAAATATATACTCTTTCCTTGAACCTACTATGTGTATATCCACAAATGAGTGAGACCTAATTTGCCTGCAAAGTTGATACAGATGGAGTTAATCATTGAATATTTGGGAGCACAGCTCAAACCCCAGTTTAGTACTAATGGTTGGCGTATCCTCCTAGATGAGGCATCCTACTGTCTTCTTTCAATCTATTTGCATTTTGGGGGGATTGCTTATCTCATACAAGTACTAAATTCCAATATTTGTGTACATATATATAGCAAATGGCTATATATGACATAAATTAAGTATATATATAAATCTGATGTTAAGTCCTCAGTTGCCCACTGCTTAACTGTAGTTCAGTAAAGAACGGATTGATTGCATGTACCACGGAAGTCTCATAAGATCATGGTTCCTAGTGATTTGCTTGTCTTCCTTTCTGTAAGTGCACCCCATGATGTTTGTACAACTACAGAATCATCTGGTGATGCATCCTCAGGCAGGATCCCCATTGCTAAGTGAAATATGACTTTTTATGTGTGTATTTCAGTCTTCAATCTTCCAAGAATTTTTCTGTTTTTCCTTTTTTCTAGGATGACAGCTTTAATAAGGATTCCTCCTACTCTAACATTGTCTTTCAGGAAGAATGTGAAACTATGTGGGCTGCAAAGAAAGTTACATACATGTGCCATCATCATTTTATTTCTAGGTTTTCACCTTTCATAGCTGTTGCTTTTATTTAGCTTCTTCCCTCTCCTGTTCAGCATTGCCTTAATGTCAAAAAATTGTCTGTGAACAGTGGGCTCCGCCTGGAGGCGGGAGCCACTGCACTGTCTTTCTTACTAAGACTCCGTGGTTAAGGCCTTTTTTCTGACATTATTATTTATTTTTGAGACCCAGTCTTCATTATTTTCTGTATACCTAAGAATCTTTTATTGGAGAACTTGGCTTCATAATTCCTCTGCTTACCTAAACTGCTTTGCTGTTTTATTGAATAAGAAAGCTTGTCAGCTGAATAAATATTCCCATTTTAAACATGGAGTGCTTTCTGTGCACTCTGAAAATATTGAGCTTTGCATCCTTTGGGGAGAAGGGATTGGTACCCACTTTGCTAAACTATTTGTTGAGATTCAGGTAGCCTTCTATGTCCAAGAGTTCCACACCTGTGAATTTAATCCACAGAGTTAAAAGTCTCTGAAAGAAACAAGTTGCATCTGTCCTGAACATGCTGACTTCTTTTCTAGTCATTCCTAAACCATGCAATGTAACAGCTGTTTACTAAGCATTTGTGTGTACTCAATTTTAAATCAAGTAGAGATAGTTCAAAGTATACAAGAGAATATGCATAGACTATGTACAAACCTCACCTTTTTATAAGGGACAAACCTGTGTTGATTTTGATACATCAGGGACTGCAGATACTGAGAGGGGCCTGTGCCAGTTGAGTGCCCCTTATCTGAAATGCTTAAGACCAGAAATGTTAGAGATTCTGGAGTTTTTCAGGTTTGGGAACAGTTTCATAGATTTTTCTTGATTGAGCCATCCATCCCTAGTCTGAGATGTTTCAAATCTAGACTCAAAAGACAGGAATGCTTAACCTGTAAAACAAATATGTGTGAAAGCAAGCATAGAAATTTTAAGTGCTGGGTTTGAGGGGTGTGACCATCTCTCACGTCAAGAAGCCATGTGTGGCAACACTGCTCTCCTCTCTTCTGCTCACCATGGCCTCCTTCCTGAGGGGACCCATTCTCTTGGCTTTAAGCATCCTGGGATCATTTTTCCTGTATCTAAACTTCATACAAATGAACTCATAGATTATTATCTCATTTTGTCTACCTTGTGTCACTCATCCTTAATTTATAAGACAGACCTTTGTGGTTATAGATACATTCTTTTCATTGTGAATATATAGTATTCACATGTTGACGAAACCATTCTTTAGCTAAACATTAGCATCTGGGTAGCTTCTATCTTGGAGATACTATAAATTGCTATAATCAGTTGTGATAAGTTAATGTTTGCACGTGTATTTCTGTGAAATTTAAATCTAAAAGTGAAATTGTCAAGTCAGAAGCTATAGCACACCGGTGTCCAATTTAAGCAGGTAAACAACTTTCAAAACGTGCAGCCGATTCATAACTTCTGCTAGTCAGCAGCACTTCATGACTTGCTTCCTTCTGCTCTGGAGCCAGCAGAAGTACCTCATGAAGGCTCTACTTTGAATTTCCTTAATGACTGATGAAGTCAAGCACAAGTTTGTGTGTTAGAATCTTGGAATGCTTTGACAAATGAGTGAGAGATTGGGGAACAAACTCGTTGTACATTCAGACTCTCTTAGAAGATGACACTCTCCTTATAATGTAATCACTTTTGAACTTTTAGAGCACTTAACTGATCACCAAATATGCTGTTTTTGTGTATTTACAATTTAATAATTACGTACTTCATTTCTGATTAATACAACAGCCTGAGGCACAGTCTTTCAGAGTTCACAGAACAATGTTTATCTGCTATTTCATTTGACTTTAAAGAATGAATAATGAAAATGTGTCAGGTACACATGTCAAATTTTACTCAGCCACAAAGAAAGTGAAATTATGAAATTTTCAGGAAATGAATGGATCTAGAAAATATTATACTAAGCAAAGTGACCCAGACAAAGGGCAAAACTTGCATGCTCTCTCTCATATGCAGAACCTGTT